TGGGAGGGGCAGGGAAATGAAGGCATGCTTACCGATTGAGTGCAGCCTAATTTTCCTTTCCCTGGGAGCCCAGAGCAGCCATATCTCCCTGGTTTGTTATGCCTCTCCTTCCTTCTATTCCCATCAGTAAGAAGGTGTATCAGCCCTTTCCAGGTCTTGACAGCTGTCAGGGTTTTGGGAAAAAGCACAAGAACAAAAATCCAATCTCTCCCTGCCCCATCCAAAAAGGGGCACCTGCCTTATTTAACACATAGGTGGTCCTTCTCTGGCCCTCATCTGTCACTATCAGCACTTAGAGAACTTACTTTTGGGAGATGTAGCCCACCAAAGTAAATTTTTCAGGTTCTCTTAATTGACTCCCCACTCCCTGGCTTGTAGCATCCGAACAGATGTCAATTTGCAATATATTCATCTTGCATCTTACATTAGAGGCCTGGCATCATGGCACGTTTGCGTTATATGTGAGACTTTAACCAATAGAAACCATTTGCCTGCCCTCTTTGCTAAAAGCAGATGCATCTTCCCCAAAGCGAACCAAATGGTGTTTGTAGAAAGTTAATCTCTGGAAGGAGGATGCCTTCAGTCTTTGAGAAATTAGATTTTAACCAGCTTGGATTAAGTTGTTTTCCTCATCCTTTGAAACTCTACAGGAAAAAGCCGGCTAAAGGACACAATGCTTCTATTTAACCCTAGAGCAGAAAACATGCAGGAAACAGCATTTTGGGAAACAATGTGAGTGATTCATTTGTCTCTGGCTCCTGCTGTTTGTATTGATTTTATGGTACTTTAGCCAATACTTGTAATTTATGAAGTCAATGTTTGCAGTTTTACACAGGTGTAATTCTGTGATGTCCTTTGAATGTCCAGGCATTTGTAATCTGCACTTTTAGCTAGAATCCTGTTGGTGACTTACAAAAGGATAAATTCCCCTATGGAAGCATATGAGGCACAAGAGCTCCCTGGCTGAGAATTGTAAATGCCCCTCTCTAAACTGCAAATCCCAGGATTCCATAGGATCTTGCCATGGCAGTTAAAGTACGATCAGAGCACTATAAGAGAGTAGTGTGATAAGAAGAGCATCAAGTGGAGAGCATCATTTGTCCACACTCAGGAGCACTGACAGGTCTTTACATCTTCAAGACTCTCAGAATCACACAATGGAAGGGTGTGAAAACAAAACCCTCTTACAGCCTCATTGAGGGTTCAATCAGATACGAACAAGATGGGATTTGTCCCCAGAAAGGTGACCCAGATTGTTAAGGATCTGGAAATCATACCCTTTGAGGAATATGAGGGAGCTGGGTATGTTTGGCTTGGAGAAGAGAGGACTGAGAGGTGATTCAATATGTGTGTACGTATTTGTGTGCCTTGAAGTTGCCTGTTGATGTATGGTGACCCCATTAATGATAGAATCATAGAATCATAGAGTTTCATAAAGTTTCCTTAGCAAAGCAATACTTAGCAGTGATTTTTCTAGTTCCTTCCTCTGAAATGTAGCCTACAACACCTGGTATTCATTGATGGTATCCCATCCAAGTACTAGCCATGGCTGACCCGCCTTGGCTTCCAAGATGAGACAGAATCTAGTGCTTTTTTAGGATGTTTATAGCCATCTTTTAATATCTGAAAGATTTTCATGTGGAGTAAGTTTGTTTTCTGCTGATCCAGAGGACCCACACCAGATGGTTCAAATGGCAAGAAAGGAAATTTAATATAAATATTAGGAAAAACTTCTTGTAGGTAAGAGCTGTTTGACAGAAGAATAGACTGCCTTAAGGGGAGAAAGATGAAATAGCTGCACCATGTCTTTCTGCCTGAAGTAGTGGGTTCAAATTACAAGAAAGGACATTCCAAGTAAACATGAAGGACTGCATAAGGACTTTGGTGGTTGTGGTGTGTGCCTTCAAGTTATTTCCAACTTATGGCAACCCTAAGGAAAACTTATCATGGGGTTTTCTTGGCAAGACTTTCTCAGAGGAGGTTTGCCATTGCCTTCCCTTGAGGCTGAGAGCATGTGACTTGCTCAAGGTCACTCAGTGGGTTTCATGGTTGAGCTGGGATTTCAGTCCTCTCCAGAGTTGTAGTCCAGCACTCAGACCACTATGCTATGCTGGCACTGTAGAATTCATAGCCATGTTAGTCTGGAATAAGAGTGTGAAAAGAGACCTTGTTGCACTTTTGAGACTAAAAGGGCTGGCCTGGGGGTGGAGTGGGGGTGGGCTGACTGCATACCAGCTGCCCTGACTCTGCCCCAATGCTGCCGTTACACCTCCCACCCAAACAGATGGTGGGCGGTGTCAGGGTGCTCCCTTGGTGCAGCATTCACACACGCTGTGCCAAAGGAGCACAAAAAGTCAATGCTGCGGCGGCAAGGGTGGCTTTTTGCCATTCTAAAAAGGAGCGGCATTTGCCAGCTCTTTTTAGAGTGGCAAAGTACTGGATTGGGGCTGCGGCGTGTGGTTCTCGTGGCCCCAATCCGGCAAGTAAAGGGGCGTCGGGACGCCACCCCTTAGGGCAGGGACCGGCAACCTATGGCCCAGGGGCCAGTTAAGGTCCCGGGCCCTGGACTTACTGGCCCAGGCCGAAGGTTGCCGCTGCTGCCGCACACTGCCGCTGCTGCCGCGTGCCGGCGTCGGGGCACGTTTTTGCCACTTTGTGGCCACGCTCGCTGTGATTGCCATTTTGAAAATCAAAATGGCGGTCGCGACGCATTTGTGCATGCGCAGTACTTTTGCGCATGCGCAAACGCATCGCGACCGTGATTTGGACTTCCATAATGGCGGCTGCAACATGCACTGTGGCAGCAGGGGCTGTGCGCACTACGGCGGTGGTAGTCTCAAAGGTGTTACAAAATCTCTGTACATATTAATTCTATAGACTGAGGGCCGATGCAGACGGAAGCACCCGGGAGCACCGGATTAGGACCACAGCAACCACATGCTGCAACCCCGATTTGACTTTTTGCTGCTCCAAAAAGAGCTGGCAGATGCTGCTGTTTTTTGGGGCAGCAAAAAGCCACCCTTAGCACCACTGTGATGGTTCTTTTGTGCCCCTTTGGTGCACACTGCACCAACTGAGCATGCTGACACCATGCGCTGTGCGGTCAGGTGCATGACCTGATAGCAGTGTCAGGGTAGATGGCATGTGGTTGCTCTGCCCCAACTCCACTCCCAGCCCAGCCCTTTTGGCCAGTCTGCATCGGCCCTAACACAGCTATATCTTTAAATTCTCTCACCCCGTTCGTCTCAAATGTGCTACAAGATCCCTTTGCACACTGACAATCTAGACTAACATGGCTAGGTCTCTGAATTCTACATGAATGAAGAAGAATTGTGATTATAACCATACTTGAACATGGAACAGATTGCCTCAGAAAAATGGGTGCCTCTCCTTTTCTGGAAGATATTAAATAAAGTTTAGATGTCCACCTCTTGGGGGTATTTTAGTATTGGATTCGTACATTGCAAGGGGTTGGACTATATGATCCTTGGTGTTCTCTCTAATTTTATGATTCTAAGATAGTTAACAGGAAGTCTGATGAGAAAAGATGTTACAAAACCTTGGCTTCTGAACTAGATGGAAGCTTTCTCTTTAGTCCCAGCATCCTATTTCCAACTGTGGCCAGAGAAAACCTTCAAGAAATTCTGCAAGCACGGGTGAGAAGGTGACACAGACTTTGCACTGTTTGTAGCTGGAAAAGTAGCACCTTTGCTCAACCCTGGAAGACAATCCCTTGGCTGCCTGCTGCAGGGCTTCAGATATCTGCACCAATTTGCCAGCCCCCTAGACCCAAGCTGAGCAAGGTGTCTGTGCAAAGTCTGCAAAGGAGAGATGGAACTGGAAGAAAGCCAGCTCTGTTATTCTCTGGCAGGATCTGGCTTGATACATTGCAACTGCCAGCCCAGTTATCAGAGTGGAGGTGGAGAAGCCAAAAGGTCCAGCAAACGTTGCTGCGAGAATTGAGACGTTGCTCCATTTGGCTCCCAGAGGCTACTAAGTAGGGGAGGCTGAGGGATTGGACAATAGCCCAGAACAAGGCTGAGATCCCACATCATGCTTGTGCACTGCCAATCTCCACTCATGTACGGTGCATCCACACTGCAAAATTATAGCCTTTTGATTCCACTTTAACATTCCATCTCTCTGTCCTATGGACTCCTGGGATTTACAGTCTGTTTTGTTGTTTGTTGTGTGCCTTCAAGTCATTTCCGACTTATGGTGACCCTAAGGCCAACCTATCATGGGGATTTCTTGGCTAGATTTGTTTGAAGGGGATTTGCCATTGTTTTCCTCCAAGGCTGAGAGCATATGACTTGCTCATGATCACCCAGTGGGTTTCATGGCTAATCAGGGAACCGAACCCTGGTCTCCAGAGCTGTAGTTCAATGCTCAAACCACTATGCCACACTGGCTCTAGAGGGTGCATCTACACCAGGGGTAGGTAACCTAAGGCCCGGGGGCTGGATGCGCCCCCCCCGAGGTCTTTGGACCAGCCCTAGGCTGGTCCTGCCACTGCCGCTGCCACCTCCTGCCATGATGATATTGATTATTGTTGTTATTACTTGTTCTATGGTTTTTATGGGGCTGACAGAGTGTGCATGCATTTTTTTTAATTTTTGATTTAATTTTTTAAATTTTATTTATTTATTTATTTATTTATTTTTGGTGCTTCGGCCCCCCAATTGTCTGAGGAACAGCAACCCGGCCCCCGGCTCAAAAAGGTTGCCTACCACTGATCTACACTGTCGAAATAATGCAGTTTGACATTACTTTAACTGCCATGGTTCCATCCTATAGAATCCTGAGACTTGTAGTTTTATGAGGTACCAGCACTCTTTGGCAGAGAAGGCTAAAGACGGTGCAAAACTGTAAATTCCAGGATTCCATAGGATGGAACTACAGCATTTAAAGTGGTGTCAAACTACATTATTTCTACAGTGTGGATGCTGCCTAAGTATCATAGAAAACTTCTACTCCAAGGATGCATGGAGGCAGGGCAACTGAAGTGGCATGAAACTGATAAAATTGTGCAGTGTGGGTATACCTATAGTTACGCAGTGGTTGTGTTACACCACTTTTGCTGAATACCAGCATGGCACAAGTGATTGTGTATTTGCCAGTGTGCCTGCTGATTGTCCCCTTGTACAAAGGGGAATGCAGAGTGGTTGTTTGCACAATCCCAGTGAATCAAAGCATTGAAGGTGCTTATGAGTATTTATGAATATCCCAAGAATGTGCAACTGCACACTTTAAGTGGTCACAGTTGTAGAACTACGCTTACGCTACCATGAACTGAATACATCTTTTGCACAACAACCTTACATGTACAGCCATATATGGAAATAAACTTTTCTGTGCATATGACACCAAGTGGATTCCAGCCAAACCAGAGCAGAGATCATGCACCATTGTGCTTCTGAGAAGGCAGACTGAATCTATGAAATGTATGCTGCAAACTTCTTTCGGTTAGTTTCAAAGGTTCTACAACAATCCTTTTGTATACGATATAGACCAACATGGGACCTTATCACACGGGGTCTAAAGCAGACCTAATCCAAAGGGTATCCGTAGCTAATACATATTATTTCCCCGTGTTTACACATGACGTTACACCGAAACTCGACAGAACCCGGAGCTAATCCGTATTGTTTCTCCGTGTTTACACACGACGTTGCACCGAAACTCGACAGAACCCGGAGCTAATCTGTAATGAATTGAGATCTTTTGACATTCGGTTTTTCAGGGAAGTACAAGGGAGCTTTCGGAATCATTGCGCAATGGCCGCACAGGCGAAATTCAGTTCATTTTGGTATAGAACTGAATTCATTCTTATTTCGGTTACTTTTCGCTTCATGGCCAGCGTGTGATAAGGTCCATGGTTATGTCTTTGAATATGACAATATTGTCCATGTTCAGAAGTTCTTGAAGAGCATATTGAACCTCTCACCACCTATCATAGGACGTTATCACACGTGGGCCAGAAAGAGAAAATAAAGTGGAAATGAGGCATTCCAAAAATAAATGGAAAATAAACCTTAATTCCGCAAACGTCATTACCTTAATTGCGAATTTACAGTAAGCTCATTGAACGTCCACACACAAGCAAAAAAAGCCCGTAAATGTACTAGAAATGAGCTTCTTGCACATGCGCAGATAGAAGAATGCTCGCTGGAACCATGGCAACAGCAGGGAAATACTCCCAAATGCGCATTTGCTTTTCACATTACGATAAATGCGAAATTACCTTAATTGCGCATTTGCATTTCCTCCAAACAACCGAATTTCAAAAGATCGCAGTTAACACCAGTTTCTGTCCACTTTCTGTCCAGTTTCTGTGCGACGTCGTGTGAAAACACGGGGCACTAATCCAATTTCTGTTTGGGTTTTGTTTGGATTAACCAGCAGATTTGCCCCCATGTGATAATGTCCAGATTCAACATCTTTATCAATGACTTGGATGAAGGAATAGAGGGCCTGCTTATCAAATTTGCAGATGACAACAAATTAAGAGGAGTAGCTAATACCCCAGAGGAGAGAATCACAATTCAAAATTACCGTTATAGATTATCTGGGCCAAACTAACAAAATGAACTTCAACACGGAAAAATGTAAGGGAGAAAAAAAATGAAATGCACAGATATAGGATGGGGGACAGCTGGCTTGACAATAGTACATGTGACAGGGATCTAGGAGTCTAGTAGATCACACATTGAACATGAGCCAACAGTGTGATGTGGCCGCTAAAAAGGCCAATGAAATTCTAGGCTGCATCAATAGACATAGAGCAGGGGTAGGCAACCTTTCCCCTTTAAGGGCCGCGGGACTTCAGCTCCCAGAAGCCTCAGCCATGTTGGCCAATAGTCCCATGTTGGCCAATAGCTCCTGGGATTCTGGGAGCTGAAGTCCCTCGGCCCTTAAAGGGGAAAGGTTGCCTACCCCTGGTCTGGAAACTACCAAGCCCTATGTGGAGTGGATTAGGGAGCTGGGTATGTTTAGCCTGGAGAAGAGAAGGTTAAGAGGGGACATCAGAGCCATTTTCCAGTATTTGAAAGAGTGTCGTATTGAGGATGGAACAAGCTTGTTTTCTGCTGCTCCAGAGAACCAGACCCAGACTAGTGGATTCTACAGGAAAAGAGAGTCCACCTTAATTAGGAAGACCTTCCTGACAGTAAGAGCTGTTCAAAAGTAGAAAACACTGCCTTGGAGTGTGCCGGAGTCTCCTTCTTTGGGGATATTTAAACAGAGACTAGATGGCCATCTGTTGGGGGTGCTTTGTGTCCTATCCCTGGAGTTGCCCGACCCTCTTCTGTTGTAAAGGCATCAGGTGGTTGATTGTATGTGTATCCCATTGAGCTGCCTGGTGTATCTGCTGTGACCACAGATTGCTTGCTCTGAGGTCAGAATGTGGCTCCCAACCTCCATCACATGCAACTGGTGGCAGCGGCAGATGCGCTGGGTGCTTTAGCAGGATGCATTTTAAACAGCTGTCCAGTATCAGAATGGAGGGCTCTGGATCTTCCAGGATGATCCTGAGTAAAGTGTAAGTTTTAAATATGCATTGTAAGGGGGTTTATAGAAGCCAACATGGCATAGTGGTTTGAGTGTTGCATTAAGACTCTGGAGACCAGGGTTCGATTTCCCGCTCAGCCATGAAACCCACTTGGTGACCTTGGGCAAATCATGCTCTCTCAGCTTTAGAATATGGCAATGGCATACCTCCTCTGAACAAATCTTGCCAAGAAAACCCCATGATAGGTTCCACGTAAGGGTTGCCATAAGTCAGAAATGATTTGAAAGCATACGACAACAACAACAACAACAAGAAAGGTGGGGGGGGTTACTCCCTGGTTCTGGTGTTGAATGGACTGGATGTCATCCTGTCTGTTTGCACCAGAACCATAGTTTGGGCCTTGTATTGTCTGGATTCCCTGCCAAGAGGATGGAAGGAGGCTATTTTATTTGGCCTATGCAGACAGGACCAAGTGAATCCAGTGGTACATTGAAGACAATGATGAGTAGTTACACACTATCCAAGGATATATGTCCACAGTGCAAGAGTTACACTTATAGAACTCTGTTTATACAGCTGTAACTGAATGCACACATGACATCATGGCCAAAAATTACAACCAAATGCTTAAAGGAACTCATATGTGTGCAAAACACCAATGGGATGCCAACCCTGGCCCCTTATATATTTAGCTCCAGGAACTGTAAATCCTCTCAAAATCCTGGTCTCCTCGCCCTCCTTCTGTGGGAAGCCAAAGCAGGAATGCTAAAACCTGCATTCAGTCAGATAACAACCCTAAATTTATGCTAAAAGCAAACATATTATTAAAAAGCTTTTAAGGCTAAACAGTAGCTGGAAGTCCTCATTATTCTACCACTCTTGTGAATTCTAATGCAGGCATCTGTCGCTGGGTGTTAGCTTTAGACATTTTCACGCCTCAAGCAAAAAAGTCCATGTCCCACCTTTTCCCAGCTTTTATGTCGGAAAGGTCATTCATGTGGTTCCCCCACATGCTGGCAAGGTACGCAACAAGAATGCAGATTTCTCACTCAGAAAAGACATGTGTAGAGGAAATTGCTATGTGTGAAGCGGCACAGAGGCACTTCCTAGATGCTGGGTTGTTTCCCCCCATCTCTCAGTGAATTAACCGCCCACCTCAATTTTAGGTAGAAAGGGCACCATATTAAGTTTTTAATTCACACCTCTTGGAAACTTGGGTGAGAAGCTCTGCTTTGATTAATTTGCTTTGTTCACAATTTCATTAAAGTCAGACTTCGGTGGCAATTAGTTCAACCAGTTCATTTTAGGCTGAACTAATGAAATGACAGTAATTAAAGCTGATGTTTGGGACTCTGATTAAAATGTGAGCTCAGTGAATTAATTCAAACCAATCCAAAACAAAGGGATAAAAGCCCTTTGATTCGAATGAGCTCAGGGCAGGTTTCTTTCTTTCAGGTACACTGCATTCCAATAGAGAGAAAAACTCCCTGCCACTTGAATGAGCTTTCTGAAGTGGAGCATCATGTTGTTGGAGGGGACTTTTGTCTGCAGAAATGCCAAGGCAACACATGAATTGCTAACAGCTCGGCACACAAATGAGCGACAACGTTTCAGAAAGGAGGCAAATTGCCGAGACACGATCAGAATCGTCCTGCCTTGACAATAATGTGTAGAACTTGTCAGGGCCTTTGGCGATGGTGGTTTGGAAACTTCCCCACTGATGATTAAATCTTGCAAAGAAAACATTCTCAAAAGAAAATGCAAAGCATGTATCTCTGCCAAGCTAAAGGTGCAGAGAGTCTTTTGATTCAAAGCCCGGAGCTGGGGGGTGAGTAGGGAAGAAACCACATTTGGAGATCATACTAAGGAGATTTTCAGACCTGGAATAAAGTTGGGAATAAA